ATAAAGTTCAATACTGTGCATGTTGTTTGACGTTCCTAACAGAACCCAACAGCAAGATGTAAGTTCGTATCAATAGAGTAGAATAGACCATAATCTGTTGTACCTCCAGTGTACTTTTTGATATGCTTGACTCCTCTCGTGTGTGATTCTTTGGGAGCAGCCTGATACCTGGCACACAATCCAACACTAAAGCAAATGTCAGGTCTACTAGCAGTGAGGTATAAAAGACTACCAATCATATTTCTGTAGAGAGTTTGACCAACAGATGTACCTTCATCATCTTTGGAAACTTTTACATGAGTGCCCATGGGAGTTTGAGGACATTTAGCATTTTCAAGACCAAACTTTTTAACATGGTATTTTGCATACTTACCCTGATGCAAGAAAATACCATCTTTACCTTGCTTTACCTGAAGTCCAAGAAAGTATGAATGTTCGCCGACGAGACTCATCTCAAATTCAGACGACATAAGTTTAACAAAGTGATTGACCAGCTTCTTGGATGTTGATCCAAAGATGATGTCATCGACATAGATTTGAATAGCCAATAGGTCCTCATTTGTTCGAAGAGCAAAGAATGTCTGATCTACTCCTACTCTCTTGAATCCCTTTTCCTGAAGGTACATGGTAAGGTGTTCATACCACGCACGAGGCGCTTGCTTTAATCCGTACAATGCTTTCTTAAGTCTGTAGACATGATTCGGATTCTTGGGATCTTTGAACCCTTCTATATGATTCACGTATGCCTCTTCATGTAATATCCCGTTCAGAAAGGTAGATTTTACGTCCATCTAATAAACAATGAACTTCATTTGACAAACAATAGATAGAAATATGCGTACAGATTCAAGTCTAGCAATAGGGACAAAGGTTTTATCAAATACAATCCCTTGAGTGTGTGTGTAGCCTTGAGCAACTAGTATCACCTTATTGCGCGTCACATTCCCAAACTCATCAGTTTTATTCTTGAAAATCCACTTGGTTCCGATAACATTTCCTGATGAAGGTCCAGGGACTAACTCACAGAAATCGTTTCTAGTGAATTGCTCCAGTTCCTCCTGCATGGCTAAGATCCAGCACTCGTCTTTCAGAGCTTCTTTAGCATTATTGGGTTCAATCAATGAGGTGTAACAAACACAATGTGAAACACCCGTAAGTTCTTTGATTGACGTCTTCGAGTTTCTGGTTACTCTCTCGTTTGTCACCAATTACTTTCTCGGATGGATGGTCTTTCTGAACCCTTAAGAGAGGATCATGCCTAGGTAGCACAGAACCTTTTTGAGTCGCAAGGACAATGTAGTCAATTGGTGTTTCAACATCCCCAACCGAAGTTTCAGCTATCTCCTTGTCTGCAGGACTCTCAACACCATGAGTATCCTGCAATGCCTCAACAGCATTAAACTGATTAAACGATATAGAGGAGCTAACTTGAGAATTTTTTCATCAAAGATTACATTTATTGACTCAATTACAGTGGAGGTACTTGTGTTGTAAACACGATATGCTCGACTATTCTTAGAGTAACCTAGAAAGAATCCAATATTCAATTTTGCATCGAACTTCCCTAGTTGTACAAGATCATTGTAGGTAAAACATTCACACCCAAAAATATGCAAGTGACTGAGGTTAGGACTCTTACCTTTCCAGAGTTCATATGAAGTCAGACCAATACCTCGACGAAGGTACACACGATTCACAAGGTAGCATGCTGTATTGATTGCCTCAGCCCACCATCTCAATGAAATGTTTTTGGAGTTCAACATGACTCCGGCCATTTCTTATAGAGTGTGATTCTTCCTTTCAACAACTCCATTTTGCTGAGGAGTTTTAGGAGCTGAGAACTAGAGACTAATACCCAGAGAATCACAAAATTCAGCAAACTCAGAATTTTCAAACTCTCTTCCATGATCCCTTCGAATACTTATTATGGGAAAACCTTTCTCAGTTTGAACCTTCAAACAAAGTGACTTAATGGCAGTGAATGTCTCAGACTTCTCACGTAAAAAATCAACCCAAGTATATCGAGAGAAGTCATCAACGCACACAAAAATAAACTTTTTACCTTGATAATTTTCTACCGGAATGGGACCCATGAGATCCATGTGAAGAAGTTCTAGGATCTGTTTAGAAGCAATATGGTTCAGTGACTTGTGAGATGTCCTCGTTTGCTTACCTAGTTAACAAGGTTCGCAAATTGGCTGCTCCTTCACAACAATCTTTGGAACACCCCTGACTACACCTGCATTGGTCAATTTGACAAGGTGAGAGTATCCAATATGCCCTAAAAGATGATGACATATTTCAGGTTCGCTCACATTTGAGAAAAGACATTTTTCATTAAAATCAACAAGATAACAGTTATCTGTTGAACGATAACCTGTAAGTACACAAGAACCTTCACTATCTTTCACATAACACTTATCACATGAGAAACTGACACTAAGGCCTTGATCACATAGTTGACTCACACTCAAAAGATTTGCCTTTAGTTCATCATCAAGTAACACATCAGTTAGTTTAGGCATTCCACCCAATATTTAAACAGCCAGTTCTAATGACCTTATTGCTCACTCCGTCACTGAACGTGACTTCCCCATTTGAACTGGGTTGAATGTTCATCAAGTAAGAAGGTTCACCAGTCATGTGTCTAGAGCAGCCGCTGTCCAGATACCATTTACCTTTCAAGGAAGTCCTGAGAGACAGAACATAGGCAAAAAGTTGAAGGATTTCTTAGCAGCCCACACTTGATGAGTCTTGGTACGGTTATTTGGGAGGGTTCTGACATAAACCTTCACTGGAATACCAGACTGATTCTAACCCCTAACATTACTTGTACAAAGATCATGCTGCATATTATAGCATTTGGGTCTTATGTGACCAGTTACACCACAGTAATGAAAGATAGGAACAAAGTTATGTTGAGTTTTATTAATAGATTTCTGCATAGAAGAATGAACCTTCAAGGGAGATTTTGGAGATAGCGGTTTACTTACAGTGCTTTTTACAAACTTGTCAAACACGTTTCTGGAATGTCTCTCATGTAGGTTCACACCTCTAACTCCAAGTTTGTCCCCAAATCCAAGACCGATATGTTCTGTATTTGAAGTTCCAGTTAAGGACTCAAGAATGTCTTCCCTACCAGTGTACCCTATTCCTGTAAGATCACCATGTTGTTTTCCCAAGGAAAGAAGTTCATTCATCTATGCTTTTCCCTTGTTCAGTTTTCGAATGACTTCTGCAGTTCGGTTCAACTCAGCAGAATTTGCCTTCAGTTTGCTTTCCATGCTAGCATGTTCGTTCATCAGCCGATCAGCTTTATTTTTCAGTAGCACGATTTTCTGGTTCTGCTCGGCAAGAAGTTTTAGAGTATAGAATAGTTTGGTCCTTAAGCATTCAGTGGTCTGAGCCTTCTCCAGTCCTTGTTTTGCAAGTTTGATACTTCTCTCAAGGATGTAGGTTCGTGCCTTTGCAGTATCCAATTCACACTCTTTAGTAGCAGTGGAGGTGGATGCCTGTTCGTTCAGCACCCTGTTTGCTCTTGAAAGTCTAAACACTTCATTTTGAAGCTTCTGTAGAGCTTCAGATGCTTGAGTACACTTTTCCATAGCAAGTAAGTGTGCTGGATATACACACAAATTTTGATCTGCTTCATCCTCAGAAGCTTCAATTTCTTTCAAACTTTCTTCAAACTTGGTCGGAGCATGAAAAGTGGTGAGACACATGAACTTCTTGGCTGAGGTATGGACTGCCAAGTTGCTTGTGTGCAAAGAAGGTTCATCTGTACCTTCTTCATTTGAATCTTCCCAGGTTGTCTTCAGTGACTTATTCTTCTTCTTAAGATTTGCACACTCATACTGGAAGACTCAACATGTTTATTAATGAAGAATACATGGGGTATTTATAGGTGCAAAATAAATCTAATTCTAATCTAACTAGATCTACTATTCTATGCAATAAAATAAATCCTAATGCTAGTAAATCTCCTAACATCTTCTACTACTAATAAATAAAAGCAATAAGGAAATAAAATCGTACTACTACAAAAATACTAATTAATTGTCTTGCACACCAAGTATCTTGATGCCCAAGTAATTGCTCCCAACCAACTTCTCGACCGCCTCATCCCCTTCGGCCGCCTCATGTCGCGCGTCGCACGCGTGTTCGTGCGTCTCGCACTCTTCCACGGACTGGGTCTCTTGCGCACCCATGTCACACGCGCGTCTATGCGTGTGCTCAGCCCCGCGTCTGGAATCCTCACGCACGTTCGTGCTGCCGCTCTCGCCTATGCCTATCGCCCGCGCGCGCTGCTGCCCTGCGCCCGCACGCACTGCTCTACTGTGCCGCGACCACGTGCGCCCGTCCCTGCGCGCGTGCCTGCGCGCACTGTCTTCTGTGCCGCGCCTACCTGCGCCCACCCCTGCGCGTGTGCCTGCGCGAGCGCGCGCATACCTGTGCGCGCCTGAACTACCCGCGGCCTGCCTGCACGTGCATCCGTCTGCGCGTGGCCTCGTGCACCACTGGCTACCTGCACGCGTGCTGCGCGCTCATGTGAGTGCATAGTGCCCGTTGGGCTCTTGACTAGCATGCCTTCCATTCTTCCGGGCCACCTGGTATTTTAGCCACCCCCATCAGGTTTCACTTCTTCGATAAGCATCCCGAAACCATCGATGACACGTCCTTTTGAGTCGTGGCCTCATCCGTGCTCGTCTACGCCAATGCGCGTGTTCGCGCCCTTCTTGAATGCACTCTTTTTTGCGTGTGAGCGTTGCTAGCCTCGTGACCATCTTCTTGCGTGTCCTTGTGCACTTCCATGCGCGACCTTGTGTTCGTGTGGACTCGTGCCGCTTCACATGTGCTTGAGATCCTCGCATACAAGCTCGCACGCGTCTTTTAGGCCATGCATCGTCTTGGCCCTTTTTCCGGCTTTGTTGGGACGTCTTGGCTCTTGCACTTTCTCTTCGTCGGGGCTCGAAGCCCACTTCCGCATCAGCGCGTAACTGCGCGCGCACTTCTGTTGTGCCGCGCCTGCCTGCGCCCGCACCTGCGCGCGTGTCTGCGTGCCCGAACTACTCTTGGGCTGCCTGCGCGTGCGCCTATATGCGCGTGGCCCCGCGCAGCATTGGGTGGCTGCAAGGCCACGCGCAGACAGGTGCACGCGCAGGCAGCCTGCGAGTAGTTCGGGCGCGCAGGCACGCGCGCAAGGGCGGGTGCATGCACGCGCGACACAGCAAAACAGCGCGCGC